AAACCCCCCCAGGACCTCCCCACACCCAGACTGGGGCCCCGGGTGGGGTTTGGAGCCCTGCTAAGGGGCAGGAGCTGGGGGTGCCACGGGGGAAAGGGGGGTTGGGGACATTGGGGGGCGTTTGGGGACACAGGGGAGGGGGTGGCAGCCTGGGAGGGGTGGAGGGACAGCCAGGGGAGTGTTGGGGACCCGGAGCTTGGGACACCCCCTCCCCAAGGGGACAAAGAGAACAGGAGCTGGTGGGTGGGGGAGCCCAGAGGGCCTTGGGGACACTGCCAGGGACATCCAGGGGGTGCTGGGGACACTGCCAGGGGTGCTGGGGACACTGCCAGGGGTTTTGGGGACACTGCCATGGGGTACCAGGGACATCCAGGGGGTGTTGGGGACACTGCCAGGGGTACCAGTGACATCCAGAGGGTGTTGGGGACCCTGCCAGGGGTACCAGTGACATCCAGAGGGTGTTGGGGACCCTGCCAGGGGTACCAGTGACATCCAGAGGGTGTTGGGGACCCTGCCAGGGGTACCAGTGACATCCAGAGGGTGTTGGGGACCCTGCCAGGGGTACCAGTGACATCCAGAGGGTGTTGGGGACCCTGCCAGGGGTACCAGTGACATCCAGAGGGTGTTGGGGACCCTGCCAGGGGTACCAGTGACATCCAGAGGGTGTTGGGGACACTGCCAGGGGTACCAGTGACATCCAGGGAATGTTGGGGATCCAGAGGGGCTTTGGGACAAGGGGACAAGGAGAGCAGGACCTGGTGGCCACGCGGGGTGGGGGGTCCCAGAGGGGCTGGGGGCTCCCCGGGGTGTCCCGAGCAGGAGGATACGAAGAAGAGCAGGACCTGGTGGTGCCGCAGGGCCCCGAGCAGCCCCAGCCCCGCGATCAGCAGGAGGAAGACGCCGACGGCGAAGGCTCCGCCGAGCAGGGGGGGGCTGGAGCCCATGCCCAGGCCCCGCGCCCAGCCCGCGACCCCCACCAGAAGCACCCCCACCAGCTGGGGGGGCTCCGGGTCAGGGGTCCCCCCGAGCACCCCCATGGCCGCGGGGTGAGGGGGGGGACACAGCCCGAGGGCCCCAGGGGTGTTTTGGGGTCCCCGGGGTGGTGAGGGGGGTGTGCTCCCCCTCAGGCACTCTGCCCCCAGCCCCCCGGGACCCCCAGCCCCTCCCGGTGGATTTGGGGGGATGTGGCCTTTGACCCTGTCCCTTCCCGTGCTTTGGGGCACCCCCTGACCCTCCCCGGGACCCCCGACCCCTCCCCGCCCCGTCCAGCCCCCCCCTTTAAGGGGGAGTCCCAGAACCCCTCGCCACCCCCACACCGGGGGTCCCTGGAGCCCCCCCAGGTGTGGGGACCCCCAATTCCCCCACAGGGAGAGCCCTCCAGTGCCCCACACCCCAAATTGGCCGGGTGTCCCCACGCCCCCCAAACCTCCCCAGACTCGTCCCTGGCGGTGCCGCGGGACCCCTCAGCCCCCCCCGCCCCCCTCAGAGCTGAGGGGTCCCCAATCCCCGGCCCCGCTCACCACATAGACCACGTTGAGAGCGCAGAGCGCGTTGCGCGAGCAGGCGAAGCCTCCGCAGACCATGGCGGGGGCGGGGGGTCCCGGGGGATCCCGGGGGGGCTCGGGGGTCCCGGGGGGGGCTCGGGGGGCTCCGGGGTCCCCGCGCCGCGGCCCCTTTAAACCGCGGCCCCGCGCCCCGCGCGCACCCGCCCGCACCGCGCGTGCGCAGGATTCAAGCCCCGCCCACCCCGCTGTGTGTATCCCTGTCCCGCCTAAAGGCCCCGCCCACTTCCCGTGTCTCGGTCCCGCCCCTGATCCATATATGGGCGTAGCCCCGCCCATAGAGCAACACGCGCTCTCCGTACTGCGCATGCGCGGGCGCCGCTGAGGCGGGGTCTCTGCGGGAGGGGCGTGGCCCAATGGAGGGGGCGGGGCCTGTTTGTACTCCTGCCCCGCCCCCCCG